GCGATCGGGCAGAAAGGCTGTGACAATAGCACCGTGTGGGACGGGTGTGACCATAGCGAGACTGTGCGGCAAGGCAGCGGCGACAATCCCGGAGAGGCCGTGCATGAAGGCAGTGACTATACCGAGGCCGTGCAGGAAGGCAGTGACTACTATACCGAGGCCGTGCAGGAAGGCAGTGACTATACCGAGGCCGTGCAGGAAGGCAGTGACTATACCGAGGCCGTGCAGGAAGGCAGTGACTATGACGAGACCATTTGGAAAGGCTACGACGAGCGGGGAGGCCGCGATGATTCTGAGACCGCGCAAGAAAGCAGAGATCATAACCAGGCCGAGCAGGGACAATGTGACTGTATCGAGGCCGTGCGAAAAGTCCACGTCGTCCCTGTTATTGTCGCTCATTGTGACGGTGCTGGTAGCGTTGGCGAGCAGTGGATGCCACGTGGCAGCTGTGCCTGTCGTCCCCAACGAATGTGAGTGACGTGGCGATGTGAGGTGGTGAGCGGCGGTATGAGCGGTATGAAGTGGTGTGGGGTGGTGGAAGGCGATTTGAGGTGGTCTGACGTGATCCCTCCCCTTCTTCTCCCAGGGTGTGCATTTCTCGCAGGAAAGGAAAAAATGGGCTTCTTGATCCCAATCGCAGCCCCAAGGCGTAATGGACGGTCAACGAGGAGTGATCTGTGCCCTTCGCTGATGAAGTTTGCAGATCTCAAAAACCCTTTGTCTCCGAAAAGCCTCCTTGCGTAAACTAGTTTTGGCGGTTGGGCAAAGCCCAATCTTGCCTTCATCAGTACAGCACAATTCGGAGATAAGGAAGCGCGATGGTCTTTCTGAACCCCAATCGCAGCCCCAAGGCGTACTGGACGGCCAATGAGGAGTGATCTGTCCGCCGCGCCCACCACCACTCCCTCACTCGTCCCCCAACCCCCCCACCCCCCCTCGTCTGTACTGTACCCTTCCTCTCCCAGGGAGTGCGTTCCTTGCTATCAGGAACGAGATGAGCTTCGTGATTCCCAGTCGCGGTCCCAAGGCGTTCTGGATGGCCAACGACCACTGCTCTGCCCCCCTCCTCCCTGTCGCCTGTGTCGTCCCTCCCTGTCGCCTGTGTCGTCCCTCCCTGTCGCCTGTGTCGTCCCTCCCTGTCGCCTGTGTCGTCCCTCCCTGTCGCCTGTGTCGTCCCTCCCTGTCGCCTGTGTCGTCCCTCCCTGTCGCCTGTGTCGTCCCTCCCTGTCGCCTGTGTCGTCCCTCCCTGTCGCCTGTGTCGTCCCTCCCTGTCGCCTGTGTCGTCCCTCCCTGTCGCCTGTGTCGTCCCTCCCTGTCGCCTGTGTCGTCCCTCCCTGTCGCCTGTGTCGTCCCTCCCTGTCGCCTGTGTTGTCCCTCCCTGTCACCTGTGTCGTCCCTCCCTGTCACCTGTGTCGTCCCTCCCTGTCGCCTGTGTCGTCCCTCCCTGTCGCCTGTGTTGTCCCTCCCTGTCACCTGTGTCGTCCCTCCCTGTCGCCTGTGTCGTCCCTCCCTGTCGCCTGTGTCGTCCCTCCCTGTCACCTGTGTCGTCCCTCCCTGTCACCTGTGTCGTCCCTCCCTGTCGCCTGTGTTGTCCCTCCCTGTCACCTGTGTCGTCCCTCCCTGTCACCTGTGTCGTCCCTCCCTGTCACCTGTGTCGTCCCTCCCTGTCACCTGTGTCGTCCCTCCCTGTCGCCTGTGTTGTCCCTCCCTGTCACCTGTGTCGTCCCTCCCTGTCGCCTGTGTCGTCCCTCCCTGTCGCCTGTGTTGTCCCTCCCTGTCACCTGTGTTGTCCCTCCCTGTCACCTGTGTCGTCCCTCCCTGTCGCCTGTGTCGTCCCTCCCTGTCACCTGTGTCGTCCCTCCCTGTCACCTGTGTCGTCCCTGTCGCCTGTGTCGCCCCTCCCAGGGAATTCCCTCCTTGCCATCAGGGATGAGATGAACTTCCAATGATGGCCAGTCGCGGTCCCAAGGCGTTCTGGACAGCCAACAACGACTGCTCTGCCTGTGCTTCTCACTAACTACTGGTCTCCCTTACACCCCTCCCCTGCGGCCCTGCATGTGTCTCCCTTACACCCCTCCCCTGCGGCCCTGCATGTGTCTCCCTTACACCCCTCCCCTGCGGCCCTGCATGTGTCTCCCTTACATCCCTCCCCTGCGGCCCTGCATGTGTCTCCCTTACACCCCTCCCCTGCGGCCCTGCATGTGTCTCCCTTACACCCCTCCCCTGCGGCCCTGCATGTGTCTCCCTTACACCCCTCCCCTGCGGCCCTGCATGTGTCTCCCTTACACCCCTCCCCTGCGGCCCTGCATGTGTCTCCCTTACACCCCTCCCCTGCGGCCCTGCATGTGTCTCCCTTACACCCCTCCCCTGCGGCCCTGCATGTGTCTCCCTTACACCCCTCCCCTGCGGCCCTGCATGTGTCTCCCTTACACCCCTCCCCTGCGGCCCTGCATGTGTCTCCCTTACACCCCTCCCCTGCGGCCCTGCATGTGTCTCCCTTACACCCCTCCCCTGCGGCCCTGCACTGCATGTGTCTCCCAATCTCAGGGAACGCCCTCCTTGCCATATATCTCTCTTTCCCGCCCCTCCCCTCGCCTGTACCCTTTCCTCTCCCAGGGAACGCGCTCCTTGCTATCAGGGACGGAATGAACTTTGTGACTCCCAGTCGCAGCCCCAAGGCGTACTGGACGGCCAATGACGACTGCTCGTTCCTGTTTGGGGTGAACTGCAACGACAACGGCAACGTGATTGTCATGTGCGTGCGTGAGTGAGTGAGTGAGTGAGTGAGTGAGTGAGTGAGTGAGTCAGTGAGTGGTGCTCTTACTTTTGTCTAACCCAGCCGCAACATGATTGTCATGTGCGTGAGTGATTGGTGCAAAGAAAAGGTGTGGGTGAGGAGGGGATTACATTGGTCGCAGATAGGTGCTTGGCGAGAGTGTGTGAGAGGACTTTTGAGGCGCCTAAAAAAACATCTGCGTTTTTTTCACCAGTTTTTACTGTTTGTTCCTTTGCTTAAGCGTCCTCTCTACTACTGCAGCCCTTCGAAACATGAGTCAGGGTGAACATTGGTCGCAGATAGGTGATTGGCGAGAGTGTGTGAGAGCGTGTGAGATTGTGATTGCTCTTGTTTGGGGTCAACGGCGGCAACGACAACGGCAATGTGATTGTCATGTGCGTGAGTGAGTGGGTGAGTGAGTGAGTGAGTGAGTGGTGCTGCAAATCGTGATCAGCATGAGACTGGGTGAGCTGGTTTCGGGTCAACTGCTAGCAAAGACAACGGCAACGTGATTGCCATGTGCGTGAGTGGTGCTGCGGATCTGTGCCCATGAAGAAGGGCAGCAGTAGGCAAGGTCGCCTTTAGCAAAGGGACGATAGTCAACTAATGATTGCCATGTGCGTGAGTGGTGCTGCTGCAAACCCCCACTATAAGGAAACGCCTTAGTCGAGGACGAGGCGATTGCATTGTGACGCAGACCTGGTGATCAGCGTGAGTGAGTGAGTGAGTGAGTGAGTGAGGGCTTGTTTGGAGTCTGTGTGTGTGGGCCTCTTCGTGTGTGTGCCCCCTCTCCTTCCTCCCCCCCCCCCCCCCCCCATCTCCTTGGCACCTCCAGGTACGTACCTGTACAACGCGCCAGGAGCTGTTCCTCACTTGTAACATCTCTGCCTCTCCTTTTGAGACGTCTCAAAAGTTCCTCACTTGTAACATCTCTGCCTCCCTTTCAATCCCTTCCCCCTCCCCCCCACCCTTCACCCCCCCATCTCCTTGCCACCACCGCCAGGTACCTGTACAATGCGTTGGGACCTCTTCCTGCTGCCATCGGCAACCTCACCTTCCTATCGGCTATGTGAGACGAGTAGAGTGCGGCTATGTGAGACGAGTGGAGTGCTGCAGTGCTTCATTCTATCTTCTGGAAAAGCCATGCTTTGAAAGGCCAGAGCTTATGATTATTCTTAGCATCTCTGAGGCGCCTGAAATATTTGTGAGGCGCCTAAAAAATCATATCTTTTGGAAAAGCCATGCCACGAGCCATCCTCCCTCCACCGCTTTGCAGCACCACAACTGGCAATCTCACACCTCTAACAACAGAGTTTTAAGACGTCCGCCTACTATCGTCCCCCCTTCCCCCCTTCCCCCCTTCCCCCCCTCCCCTGACCGCTTTGCGTCACCACCATCGGCAATCTCACACCTCTACCATCAGGGTTCCCAATGCTAACGAGCTATCCCCCGGCCTTCCCCCCCTGCCTGACTGCTCTCCAGCACCACCACTGGCAATCTCAGTCTACCAACGGAGTTCTCAAGGCTCACGAAAATGACTTTTCTGTAAGCCTCACTTTCACTCGAAGGGAATGCGTCCGCACAGGGCTGCACGTATCAACTCCAAAACTGTTACAAAGTGACTTTTGAGTCGACTCAAAAGTCACCTCACTTTCACTCGAAGAGAATGCGTCTGCACAGGGCTGCACGTATCAACTCCAAAACTGTTACAGACATGAGGCATGATTGTGCTGTGGTGTACAGGTCCACGTGTTGAGGCAATTTTTTAGGCGCCTCAAGAATGCGCGTTTGCCTGTGGCTGTATGTACGTATTAGCTCCAAAGACAATACTGAGACGAGGAGCTGTGCTGTGCTGTGGTACAGACCCTGCCTGAGAATCAAGAGCTGGTTCTGGTTTGAACCGAGCAAAACCTTTGAGATGAGCAGAAGCGGTATTTCTGGGCCCTTCCCCACAATGGTTTCTGGCCTTCAACATTCCCCTGTATACCTGTGTTTCCACTCGATTTCCTGTTTCCCTGTGCTTCTGTCCATTTCACCCTCGTGCTTCTCAGATCTATGAGCAGAAGCGGCATCTCTGGACCCTTGCCCTGAGGTGGTTTTTGAGGCGCCTCAAAAACCACCTCAATGATTACTGCTCTTCAATATTCCTCTGTATCTCTGTACTTCTGTCCATCCCCCAACCCCCCGCGCTTTGCATCCTCTGTCCGTCCTTCGTGCTTCTCAGGTCCATGAGCAGAAGCGGCATTTCAGGGCCCTTCCCCACCATGATCACTGCTCTGCCAAAGCTCAAAGACGTGTGCGCACGGGTGACGTGGCATTAGATGTGTGACATTGCATTGGATTTGTGACGTGGCATTGGATGTGTGATGTGGCATTGGATGTGTGACATGGCATTGGATTTGTGACGTGGCACTGGATTTGTGACGTGGCATTGGATGTGTGATGTGGCATTGAATGTGTGATGTGGCATTGAATGTGTGACGTGGCATTGAATGTGTGACGTGGCATTAGATGCGAGACGTGGCAGTAGCTATGAAATACATGCATGCGTGGTGAAACAATTTATTTTATTTCCTGCACCACGATCTCTCATATTTTTTCTCTCCTCTCCTTTTCTTCTCCTGTCCCTTGCTTTTTTTTTTCGAATCGATTGCAGAAAAATGATCAACAATTCAATGTCAGGGCCAATTCCATTGGCATTCTCTGCACTGACTAACCTAACTGTCCTGTGCGTACGTTACAATTCTCAAAACAGTGAGCTGGAGTTTTGGGGCGCCTCAAAATCCAAAGGTATCGCACTGACTAACTTAACCTAAGTCGACTCACAAGGCACTCTCTGCACTGACTAACCTCACTGTCCTGTGCGTACGTTGTGAGTTGAAGAGGTGGTATTGAAGACGTGCTTATACATATGTTCTACAATGTAAAGAGGTGGTGTGATAGAGTCGACTGAAAGTTCTTTGCCCTGCACGGACTAACCTCACTGCCCTGTGCGGCTGTGCGTACGCTGTGAGTTGACGATGTGATATTGTAGTCGTGCTCATACATATGTTCTACAGTGTACAGAGGTGGTGTGATAGAATCGACTGAAAGGTCTTTGCACTGTATGGACTCACCCTACAGAATCACTTTCGAAAACAATATTGCTGCACAGAATCACTTAAAGACTTCTCAAATCCTTTCCTGTCCTCCCCTGCCCTTCACCCCTCCCCTTCCCTTCACCCCTCCCTTCCCTTCACCCCTCCCCTTCCCTTCACCCCTCCCCTTCCCTTCACCCCTCCCCTTCCCTTCACCCCTCCCCTTCCCTTCACCCCTCCCCTTCCCTTCACCCCTCCCCCTTCCCTTCACCCCTCCCCTTCCCTTCACCCCTCCCCTTCCCTTCACCCCTCCCCTTCCTTACCTCCTCCTTCACCCCTCCCTTCCCTTCACCCCTCCCTTCCCTTCACCCCTCCCTTCCCTTCACCCCTCCCCTTCCCTTCACCCCTCCCTTCCCTTCACCCCTCCCCTTCCCTTCACCCCTCCCCTTCCCTTCACCCCTCCCCTTCCCTTCACCCCTCCCCTTCCCTTCACCCCTCCCCTTCCCTTCACCCCTCCCCTTCCCTTCACCCCTCCCCTTCCCTTCACCCCTCCCCTTCCCTTCACCCCTCCCCTTCCCTTCACCCCTCCCCTTCCCTTCACCCCTCCCCTTCCCTTCACCCCTCCCCTTCCCTTCACCCCTCCCCTTCCCTTCACCCCTCCCCTTCCCTTCACCCCTCCCCTTCCCTTCACCCCTCCCCTTCCCTTCACCCCTCCCCTTCCCTTCACCCCTCCCCTTCCTTCACCCCTCCCCTTCCCTTCACCCCTCCCCTTCCCTTCACCCCTCCCTTCCCTTCACCCCTCCCCTTCCCTTCACCCTCCCCTTCCCTTCACCCCTCCCCTTCCCTTCACCCCTCCCTTCCTTCACCCCTCCCCTTCCTTCACCCCTCCCCTTCCCTTCACCCCTCCCCTTCCCTTCACCCCTCCCCTTCCCTTCACCCCTCCCCTTCCCTTCACCCCTCCCTTCCCTTCACCCCTCCCCTTCCCTTCACCCCTCCCCTTCCCTTCACCCCTCCCCTTCCCTTCACCCCCTTCCTCCCTTCCCTTCACCCCTCCCCTTCCCTTCACCCCTCCCCTTCCCTTCACCCCTCCCCTTCCCTTCACCCTCCCCTTCCCTTCACCCCTCCCCTTCCCTTCACCCTCCCCTTCCCTTCACCCCTCCCCTTCCCTTCACCCCTCCCCTTCCCTTCACCCCTCCCCTTCCCTTCACCCCTCCCCTTCCCTTCACCCCTCCCCTTCCCTTCACCCCTCCCCTTCCCTTCACCCCTCCCCTTCCCTTCACCCCTCCCCTTCCCTTCACCCCTCCCCTTCCCTTCACCCCTCCCCTTCCCTTCACCCCTCCCCTTCCCTTCACCCCTCCCCTTCCCTTCACCCCTCCCCTTCCCTTCACCCCTCCCCTTCCCTTCACCCCTCCCCTTCCCTTCACCCCTCCCCTTCCCTTCACCCCTCCCCTTCCCTTCACCCCTCCCCTTCCCTTCACCCCTCCCCTTCCCTTCACCCCTCCCCTTCCCTTCACCCCTCCCCTTCCCTTCACCCCTCCCCTTCCCTTCACCCCTCCCCTTCCCTTCACCCCTCCCCTTCCCTTCACCCCTCCCCTTCCCTTCACCCCTCCCCTTCCCTTCACCCCTCCCCTTCCCTTCACCCCTCCCCTTCCTTCACCCTCCCCTTCCTTCACCCCTCCCCTTCCCTTCACCCCTCCCCTTCCCTTCACCCCTCCCCTTCCCTTCACCCCTCCCCTTCCCTTCACCCCTCCCCTTCCCTTCACCCCTCCCCTTCCTTCACCCTCCCCTTCCCTTCACCCCTCCCCTTCCCTTCACCCCTCCCCTTCCCTTCACCCCCTCCCCTTCCCTTCACCCCTCCCCTTCCCTTCACCCCTCCCCTTCCCTTCACCCCTCCCCTTCCCTTCACCCCTCCCCTTCCCTTCACCCCTCCCCTTCCCTTCACCCCTCCCTTCCCTTCACCCCTCCCCTTCCCTTCACCCCTCCCCTTCCCTTCACCCCTCCCCTTCCCTTCACCCCTCCCCTTCCCTTCACCCCTCCCCTTCCCTTCACCCCTCCCCTTCCTTCACCCCTCCCCTTCCCTTCACCCCTCCCCTTCCCTTCACCCCTCCCCTTCCCTTCACCCCTCCCCTTCCTTCACCCCTCCCCTTCCCTTCACCCCTCCCCTTCCCTTCACCCCTCCCCTTCCCTTCACCCCTCCCCTTCCCTTCACCCCTCCCCTTCCCTTCACCCCTCCCCTTCCCTTCACCCCTCCCCTTCCCTTCACACCCTCCCCTTCCCTTCACCCCTCCCCTTCCCTTCACCCCTCCCCTTCCCTTCACCCCTCCCCTTCCCTTCACCCCTCCCCTTCCCTTCACCCCTCCCCTTCCCTTCACCCCTCCCCTTCCCTTCACCCCTCCCCTTCCCTTCACCCCTCCCCTTCCCTTCACCCCTCCCCTTCCCTTCACCCCTCCCCTTCCCTTCACCCCTCCCCTTCCCTTCACCCCTCCCCTTCCCTTCACCCCTCCCCTTCCCTTCACCCCTCCCCTTCCTTCACCCCTCCCCTTCCCTTCACCCCTCCCCTTCCCTTCACCCCTCCCCTTCCCTTCACCCCTCCCCTTCCCTTCACCCCTCCCCTTCCCTTCACCCCTCCCCTTCCCTTCACCCCTCCCCTTCCCTTCACCCCTCCCCTTCCCTTCACCCCTCCCCTTCCCTTCACCCTCCCTTCCCTTCACCCCTCCCCTTCCCTTCACCCCTCCCCTTCCCTTCACCCCTCCCCTTCCCTTCACCCCTCCCCTTCCCTTCACCCCTCCCCTTCCCTTCACCCCTCCCCTTCCCTTCACCCCTCCCCTTCCCTTCACCCCTCCCCTTCCCTTCACCCCTCCCCTTCCCTTCACCCCTCCCCTTCCCTTCACCCCTCCCCTTCCCTTCACCCCTCCCCTTCCCTTCACCCCTCCCCTTCCCTTCACCCCTCCCCTTCCCTTCACCCCTCCCCTTCCCTTCACCCCTCCCTTCCCTTCACCCCTCCCCTTCCCTTCACCCCTCCCCTTCCCTTCACCCCTCCCCTTCCCTTCACCCCTCCCCTTCCTTCACCCCTCCCCTTCCCTTCACCCCTCCCCTTCCCTTCACCCCTCCCCTTCCCTTCACCCCTCCCCTTCCCTTCACCCCTCCCTTCCCTTCACCCCTCCCCTTCCCTTCACCCCTCCCCTTCCCTTCACCCCTCCCCTTCCCTTCACCCCTCCCCTTCCCTTCACCCTCCCCTTCCCTTCACCCCTCCCCTTCCCTTCACCCCTCCCCTTCCCTTCACCCCTCCCCTTCCCTTCACCCCTCCCCTTCCCTTCACCCCTCCCCTTCCCTTCACCCCTCCCCTTCCCTTCACCCCTCCCCTTCCCTTCACCCTCCCCTTCCCTTCACCCCTCCCCTTCCCTTCACCCCTCCCCTTCCTTCACCCCTCCCCTTCCCTTCACCCCTCCCTTCCCTTCACCCCTCCCCTTCCCTTCACCCCTCCCCTTCCCTTCACCCCTCCCCTTCCCTTCACCCTCCCCTTCCCTTCACCCCTCCCCTTCCCTTCACCCCTCCCCTTCCCTTCACCCCTCCCCTTCCCTTCACCCCTCCCCTTCCTTCACCCCTCCCCTTCCCTTCACCCCTCCCCTTCCCTTCACCCCTCCCCTTCCCTTCACCCCTCCCCTTCCCTTCACCCCTCCCCTTCCCTTCACCCCTCCCCTTCCCTTCACCCCTCCCCTTCCCTTCACCCCTCCCCTTCCCTTCACCCCTCCCCTTCCCTTCACCCCTCCCCTTCCCTTCACCCCTCCCCTTCCCTTCACCCCTCCCCTTCCCTTCACCCCTCCCCTTCCCTTCACCCCTCCCCTTCCCTTCACCCCTCCCTTCCTTCACCCCTCCCCTTCCCTTCACCTTCCTTCAACCCCTCCCTTCCCTTCACCCCTCCCCTTCCCTTCACCCCTCCCCTTCCCTTCACCCCTCCCCTTCCCTTCACCCCTCCCCTTCCCTTCACCCCTCCCCTTCCCTTCACCCCTCCCCTTCCCTTCACCCCTCCCCTTCCCTTCACCCCTCCCCTTCCCTTCACCCCTCCCTTCCCTTCACCCCTCCCCTTCCCTTCACCCCTCCCCTTCCCTTCACCCCTCCCCTTCCCTTCACCCCTCCCCTTCCCTTCACCCCTCCCCTTCCCTTCACCCCTCCCCTTCCCTTCACCCCTCCCCTTCCCTTCACCCCTCCCCTTCCCTTCACCCCTCCCCTTCCCCTTCACCCTCCCCTTCCCTTCACCCTCCCCTTCCCTTCACCCCTCCCCTTCCCTTCACCCCTCCCCTTCCCTTCACCCCTCCCCTTCCCTTCACCCCTCCCCTTCCCTTCACCCCTCCCCTTCCCTTCACCCCTCCCCTTCCCTTCACCCCTCCCTTCCCTTCACCCTCCCTCCTTCACCCTCCCTTCCCTTCACCCCTCCCCTTCCCTTCACCCCTCCCCTTCCCTTCACCCCTCCCCTTCCCTTCACCCCTCCCCTTCCCTTCACCCCTCCCCTTCCCTTCACCCCTCCCCTTCCCTTCACCCCTCCCCTTCCCTTCACCCCTCCCCTTCCCTTCACCCCTCCCCTTCCCTTCACCCTCCCTTCCCTTCACCCCTCCCCTTCCTCACCCTCCCCTTCCCTTCACCCCTCCCCTTCCCTTCACCCCTCCCTTCCCTTCACCCCTCCCCTTCCCTTCACCCCTCCCCTTCCCTTCACCCCTCCCCTTCCCTTCACCCCTCCCCTTCCCTTCACCCCTCCCCTTCCCTTCACCCCTCCCCTTCCCTTCACCCCTCCCCTTCCCTTCACCCCTCCCCTTCCCTTCACCCCTCCCCTTCCCTTCACCCCTCCCCTTCCCTTCACCCCTCCCCTTCCCTTCACCCCTCCCCTTCCCTTCACCCCTCCCCTTCCCTTCACCCCTCCCCTTCCCTTCACCCCTCCCCTTCCCTTCACCCCTCCCCTTCCCTTCACCCCTCCCCTTCCCTTCACCCCTCCCCTTCCCTTCACCCCTCCCCTTCCCTTCACCCCTCCCCTTCCCTTCACCCCTCCCCTTCCCTTCACCCCTCCCCTTCCCTTCACCCCTCCCCTTCCCTTCACCCCTCCCCTTCCCTTCACCCCTCCCCTTCCCTTCACCCCTCCCCTTCCCTTCACCCCTCCCCTTCCCTTCACCCCTCCCCTTCCCTTCACCCCTCCCCTTCCCTTCACCCTCCCCTTCCCTTCACCCCTCCCCTTCCCTTCACCCCTCCCCTTCCCTTCACCCCTCCCCTTCCCTTCACCCCTCCCCTTCCCTTCACCCCTCCCCTTCCCTTCACCCCTCCCCTTCCCTTCACCCCTCCCCTTCCCTTCACCCCTCCCCTTCCCTTCACCCCTCCCCTTCCCTTCACCCTCCCCTTCCCTTCACCCCTCCCCTTCCCTTCACCCCTCCCTTCCCTTCACCCCTCCCCTTCCCTTCACCCCTCCCCTTCCCTTCACCCCTTCCCCTTCCCTTCACCCCTACCCCTTCCCTTCACCCCTCCCTTCCCTTCACCCCTCCCCTTCCCTTCACCCCTCCCCTTCCCTTCACCCCTCCCCTTCCCTTCACCCCTCCCCTTCCCTTCACCCCTCCCCTTCCCTTCACCCCTCCCCTTCCCTTCACCCCTCCCTTCCCTTCACCCCTCCCCTTCCCTTCACCCCTCCCCTTCCCTTCACCCTCCCCTTCCCTTCACCCCTCCCTTCCCTTCACCCCTCCCCTTCCCTTCACCCCTCCCCTTCCCTTCACCCCTCCCCTTCCCTTCACCCCTCCCCTTCCCTTCACCCCTCCCCTTCCCTTCACCCCTCCCCTTCCCTTCACCCCTCCCCTTCCCTTCACCCCTCCCCTTCCCTTCACCCCTCCCCTTCCCTTCACCCCTCCCCTTCCCTTCACCCCTCCCCTTCCCTTCACCCCTCCCCTTCCCTTCACCCCTCCCCTTCCCTTCACCCCTCCCCTTCCCTTCACCCCTCCCCTTCCCTTCACCCCTCCCCTTCCCTTCACCCCTCCCCTTCCCTTCACCCCTCCCCTTCCCTTCAACCCCTCCCCTTCCCTTCACCCCTCCCTTCCCTTCACCCCTCCCCTTCCTTCACCCCTCCCCTTCCCTTCACCCCTCCCCTTCCTTCACCCCTCCCCTTCCCTTCACCCCTCCCCTTCCCTTCACCCCTCCCCTTCCCTTCACCCCCTCCCCTTCCCTTCACACCCTCCCCTTCCCTTCACCCCTCCCCTTCCCTTCACCCCTCCCCTTCCCTTCACCCCTCCCCTTCCCTTCACCCCTCCCTTCCCTTCACCCCTCCCCTTCCTTCACCCCTCCCCTATCCCTTCACCCCTCCCCTTCCCTTCACCCCTCCCCTTCCTTCACCCCTCCCCTTCCCTTCCCCCTCCCCTTCCCTTCACCCCCTCCCCTTCCCTTCAACCCCTCCCCTTCCCTTCACCCCTCCCCTTCCCTTCACCCCTCCCCTTCCCTTCACCCCTCCCCTTCCTTCACCCCCTCCCCTTCCCTTCACCCCTCCCCTTCCATTCACCCTCCCCTTCCCTTCACCCCTCCCCTTCCCTTCACCCCTCCCCTTCCCTTCACCCCTCCCCTTCCCTTCACCCCTCCCCTTCCCTTCACCCCTCCCCTTCCCTTCACCCCTCCCCTTCCCTTCACCCCTCCCCTTCCCTTCACCCCTCCCCTTCCCTTCACCCCTCCCCTTCCCTTCACCCCTCCCCTTCCCTTCACCCTCCCCTTCCCTTCACCCCTCCCCTTCCCTTCACCCCTCCCCTTCCCTTCACCCCTCCCCTTCCCTTCACCCCTCCCCTTCCCTTCACCCCTCCCCTTCCCTTCACCCCTCCCCTTCCCTTCACCCCTCCCCTTCCCTTCACCCCTCCCCTTCCCTTCACCCCTCCCCTTCCCTTCACCCCTCCCCTTCCCTTCACCCCTCCCCTTCCCTTCACCCCTCCCCTTCCCTTCACCCCTCCCCTTCCCTTCACCCCTCCCCTTCCCTTCACCCCTCCCCTTCCCTTCACCCCTCCCCTTCCCTTCACCCCTCCCCTTCCCTTCACCCCTCCCCTTCCCTTCACCCCTCCCCTTCCCTTCACCCCTCCCCTTCCCTTCACCCCTCCCCTTCCCTTCACCCCTCCCCTTCCCTTCACCCCTCCCCTTCCCTTCACCCCTCCCCTTCCCTTCACCCCTCCCCTTCCCTTCACCCTCCCCTTCCCTTCACCCCTCCCCTTCCCTTCACCCCTCCCCTTCCCTTCACCCCTCCCCTTCCCTTCACCCCTCCCTTCCCTTCACCCCTCCCCTTCCCTTCACCCCTCCCCTTCCCTTCACCCCTCCCCTTCCCTTCACCCCTCCCCTTCCCTTCACCCCTCCCCTTCCCTTCACCCCTCCCCTTCTCACGCCCTCCCCTTCACCCCTCCCCTTCCCTTCACCCCTCCCCTTCCCTTCACCCCTCCCCTTCCCTTCACCCCTCCCCTTCCCTTCACCCCTCCCCTTCCCTTCACCCCTCCCCTTCCCTTCACCCCTCCCCTTCCCTTCACCCCTCCCCTTCCCTTCACCCCTCCCCTTCCCTTCACCCCTCCCCTTCCCTTCACCCCTCCCCTTCCCTTCACCCCTCCCCTTCCCTTCACCCCTCCCCTTCCCTTCACCCTCCCCTTCCCTTCACCCCTCCCCTTCCCTTCACCCCTCCCCTTCCCTTCACCCCTCCCCTTCCCTTCACCCCTCCCCTTCCCTTCACCCCTCCCCTTCCCTTCACCCCTCCCCTTCCCTTCACCCCTCCCCTTCCCTTCACCCCTCCCCTTCCCTTCACCCCTCCCCTTCCCTTCACCCCTCCCCTTCCCTTCACCCCTCCCCTTCCCTTCACCCCTCCCCTTCCCTTCACCCCTCCCCTTCCCTTCACCCCTCCCCTTCCCTTCACCCCTCCCCTTCCCTTCACCCCTCCCCTTCCCTTCACCCCTCCCCTTCCCTTCACCCCTCCCCTTCCCTTCACCCCTCCCCTTCCCTTCACCCCTCCCCTTCCCTTCACCCCTCCCCTTCCCTTCACCCCTCCCCTTCCCTTCACCCCTCCCCTTCCCTTCACCCCTCCCCTTCCCTTCACCCTCCCCTTCCCTTCACCCCTCCCCTTCCCTTCACCCCTCCCCTTCCCTTCACCCCTCCCCTTCCCTTCACCCCTCCCCTTCCCTTCACCCCTCCCCTTCCCTTCACCCCTCCCCTTCCCTTCACCCCTCCCCTTCCCTTCACCCCTCCCCTTCCCTTCACCCCTCCCTTCCCTTCACCCCTCCCCTTCCCTTCACCCCTCCCCTTCCCTTCACCCCTCCCTTCCCTTCACCCCTCCCCTTCCCTTCACCCCTCCCCTTCCCTTCACCCCTCCCTCCCCTTCCCTTCACCCCTCCCCTTCCCTTCACCCCTCCCCTTCCCTTCACCCCTCCCCTTCCCTTCACCCCTCCCCTTCCCTTCACCCCTCCCCTTCCCTTCACCCCTCCCCTTCCCTTCACCCCTCCCCTTCCCTTCACCCCTCCCCTTCCTTCACCCCTCCCCTTCCCTTCACCCCTCCCCTTCCCTTCACCCCTCCCCTTCCCTTCACCCTCCCCTTCCCTTCAACCCTCCCCTTCCCTTCCCCTCCCTCCTTCCCCTCCCTTCCTTCACCCCTCCCCTTCCCTTCACCCCTCCCCTTCCCTTCACCCCTCCCCTTCCCTTCACCCCTCCCCTTCCCTTCACCCCTCCCCTTCCCTTCACCCCTCCCCTTCCCTTCACCCCTCCCCTTCCCTTCACCCCTCCCCTTCCCTTCACCCCTCCCCTTCCCTTCACCCCTCCCCTTCCCTTCACCCCTCCCCTTCCCTTCACCCCTCCCCTTCCCTTCACCCTCCCCCTTCCTTCACCCCTCCCTTCCCTTCACCCCTCCCCTTCCCTTCACCCCTCCCCTTCCCTTCACCCCTCCCCTTCCCTTCACCCCTCCCCTTCCCTTCACCCCTCCCCTTCCCTTCACCCCTCCCCTTCCCTTCACCCCTCCCCTTCCCTTCACCCCTCCCCTTCCCTTCACCCTCCCCTTCCCTTCACCCCTCCCCTTCCCTTCACCCCTCCCCTTCCCTTCACCCCTCCCCTTCCCTTCACCCCTCCCTTCCCTTCACCCTCCCCTTCCCTTCACCCCTCCCCTTCCCTTCACCCCTCCCCTTCCCTTCACCCCTCCCCTTCCCTTCACCCTCCCCTTCCTTCACCCCTCCCCTTCCCTTCACCCCTCCCTTCCCTTCACCCCTCCCCTTCCCTTCACCCCTCCCCTTCCCTTCACCCCTCCCCTTCCCTTCACCCCTCCCCTTCCCTTCACCCCTCCCCTTCCCTTCACCCCTCCCCTTCCCTTCACCCCTCCCCTTCCCTTCACCCTCCCCTTCCCTTCACCCCTCCCCTTCCCTTCACCCCTCCCCTTCCCTTCACCCCTCCCCTTCCTTCACCCCTCCCCTTCCCTTCACCCCTCCCCTTCCCTTCACCCCTCCCCTTCCCTTCACCCCTCCCCTTCCCTTCACCCCTCCCCTTCCCTTCACCCCTCCCCTTCCCTTCACCCCTCCCCTTCCCTTCACCCCTCCCCTTCCCTTCACCCCTCCCCTTCCCTTCACCCCTCCCCTTCCCTTCACCCCTCCCCTTCCCTTCACCCCTCCCCTTCCCTTCACCCCTCCCCCTTCCCTTCACCCCTCCCCTTCCCTTCACCCCTCCCCTTCCCTTCACCCCTCCCCTTCCCTTCACCCCTCCCCTTCCCTTCACCCCTCCCCTTCCTTCACCCCTCCCCTTCCCTTCACCCCTCCCCTTCCCTTCACCCCTCCCCTTCCCTTCACCCCTCCCCTTCCCTTCACCCCTCCCCTTCCCTTCACCCCTCCCCTTCCCTTCACCCCTCCCCTTCCCTTCACCCCTCCCCTTCCCTTCACCCCTCCCCTTCCCTTCACCCCTCCCCTTCCTTCACCCCTCCCCTTCCCTTCACCCCTCCCCTTCCCTTCACCCCTCCCCTTCCCTTCACCCCTCCCCTTCCCTTCACCCCTCCCCTTCCCTTCACCCCTCCCCTTCCCTTCACCCCTCCCCTTCCCTTCACCCCTCCCCTTCCCTTCACCCCTCCCCTTCCTTCACCCCTCCCCTTCCCTTCACCCCTCCCCTTCCCTTCACCCCTCCCCTTCCCTTCACCCCTCCCCTTCCCTTCACCCTCCCCTTCCCTTCACCCCTCCCCTTCCCTTCACCCCTCCCCTTCCCTTCACCCCTCCCCTTCCCTTCACCCCTCCCCTTCCCTTCACCCTCCCCTTCCTTCACCCCTCCCTTCCCTTCACCCCTCCCCTTCCCTTCACCCCTCCCCTTCCCTTCACCCCTCCCCTTCCCTTCACCCCTCCCCTTCCCTTCACCCCTCCCCTTCCCTTCACCCCTCCCCTTCCCTTCACCCCTCCCCTTCCCTTCACCCCTCCCCTTCCCTTCACCCCTCCCCTTCCCTTCACCCCTCCCCTTCCCTTCACCCCTCCCCTTCCCTTCACCCCTCCCCTTCCCTTCACCCCTCCCCTTCCCTTCACCCCTCCCCTTCCCTTCACCCCTCCCCTTCCCTTCACCCCTCCCCTTCCCTTCACCCCTCCCTTCCCTTCACCCCTCCCCTTCCCTTCACCCTCCCCTTCCCTTCACCCCTCCCCTTCCCTTCACCCCTCCCCTTCCCTTCACCCCTCCCCTTCCCTTCACCCCTCCCCTTCCCTTCACCCCTCCCCTTCCCTTCACCCCTCCCCTTCCCTTCACCCCTCCCCTTCCCTTCACCCCTCCCCTTCCCTTCACCCCCCCCTTCCCTTCACCCCTCCCCTTCCCTTCACCCCTCCCCTTCCCTTCACCCCTCCCCTTCCCTTCACCCCTCCCCTTCCCTTCACCCCTCCCCTTCCCTTCACCCCTCCCCTTCCCTTCACCCCTCCCCTTCCCTTCACCCCTCCCCTTCCCTTCACCCCTCCCCTTCCCTTCACCCCTCCCCTTCCCTTCACCCCTCCCCTTCCCTTCACCCCTCCCCTTCCCTTCACCCCTCCCCTTCCCTTCACCCCTCCCCTTCCCTTCACCCCTCCCCTTCCCTTCACCCCTCCCCTTCCCTTCACCCCTCCCCTTCCCTTCACCCCTCCCCTTCCCTTCACCCCTCCCCTTCCCTTCACCCCTCCCCTTCCCTTCACCCCTCCCCTTCCCTTCACCCCCTACCCTTCACCCTCCTCTTCCTTCACCCTCCCATTCCTTCACCCGTCCCTTCATCACCCCTCCCCTTCCCTTCACCCCTCCCCTTCCCTTCACCCCTCCCTTCCCTTCACACCCTCCCCTTCCCTCACCCCTCCCTTCCCTTCACCCCTCCCCTTCCGTCACCCCTCCCCTTCCCTTCACCCCTCCCCTTCCCTTCACCCCTCCCCTTCCCTTCACGCCTCCCCTTCCTTCACCCCTCCCCTTCCCTTCACTCCCTCCCCTTCCCTTCACCCCTCCCCTTCCCTTCACCCCTCCCCTTCCCTTCACCCCTCCCCTTCCTTCACCCCTCCCCTTCACTCTTCCCTTCACCCCTCCCCTTCCCTTCACCCCTCCCCTTCCCTTCACCCCTCCCCTTCCCTTCACCCCTCCCCTTCCCTTCACCCCTCCCCTTCCCTTCACCCCTCCCCTTCCCTTCACCCCTCCCCTTCCCTTCACCCCTCCCCTTCCCTTCACCCCTCCCCTTCCCTTCACCCCTCCCCTTCCCTTCACCCCTCCCCTTCCCTTCACCCCTCCCCTTCCCTTCACCCCTCCCCTTCCCTTCACCCCTCCCCTTCCCTTCACCCCTCCCCTTCCCTTCACCCCTCCCCTTCCCTTCACCCCTCCCCTTCCCTTCACCCCTCCCCCTTCCCTTCACCCCTCCCCTTCCCTTCACCCCTCCCCTTCCCTTCACCCCTCCCCTTCCCTTCACCCCTCCCCTTCCCTTCACCCCTCCCCTTCCCTTCACCCCTCCCCTTCCCTTCACCCCTCCCCTTCCCTTCACCCCTCCCCTTCCCTTCACCCCTCCCTTCCCTTCACCCCTCCCCTTCCCTTCACCCCTCCCCTTCCCTTCACCCCTCCCCTTCCCTTCACCCCTCCCCTTCCCTTCACCCCTCCCCTTCCCTTCACCCCTCCCCTTCCCTTCACCCCTCCCCTTCCCTTCACCCCTCCCCTTCCCTTCACCCCTCCCCTTCCCTTCACCCCTCCCCTTCCCTTCACCCCTCCCCTTCCCTTCACCCCTCCCCTTCCCTTCACCCCTCCCCTTCCCTTCACCCCTCCCCTTCCCTTCACCCCTCCCCTTCCCTTCACCCCTCCCCTTCCCTTCACCCCTCCCCTTCCCTTCACCCCTCCCCTTCCCTTCACCCCTCCCCTTCCCTTCACCCCTCCCCTTCCCTTCACCCCTCCCCTTCCCTTCACCCCTCCCCTTCCCTTCACCCCTCCCCTTCCTTCACCCCTCCCCTTCCCTTCACCCCTCCCCTTCCCTTCACCCCTCCCCTTCCCTTCACCCCTCCCCTTCCCTTCACCCCTCCCCTTCCCTTCACCCCTCCCCTTCCCTTCACCCCTCCCCTTCCCTTCACCCCTCCCCTTCCCTTCACCCCTCCCCTTCCCTTCACCCCTCCCCTTCCCTTCACCCCTCCCCTTCCCTTCACCCCTCCCCTTCCCTTCACCCCTCCCCTTCCCTTCACCCCTCCCCTTCCCTTCACCCCTCCCCTTCCCTTCACCCCTCCCCTTCCCTTCACCCCTCCCCTTCCCTTCACCCCTCCCCTTCCCTTCACCCCTCCCCTTCCCTTCACCCCTCCCCTTCCCTTCACCCCTCCCCTTCCCTTCACCCCTCCCCTTCCCTTCACCCCTCCCCTTCCCTTCACCCCTCCCCTTCCCTTCACCCCTCCCCTTCCCTTCACCCCTCCCCTTCCCTTCACCCCTCCCCTTCCCTTCACCCCTCCCCTTCCCTTCACCCCTCCCCTTCCCTTCACCCCTCCCCTTCCCTTCACCCCTCCCCTTCCCTTCACCCCTCCCCTTCCCTTCACCCCTCCCCTTCCCTTCACCCCTCCCCTTCCCTTCACCCCTCCCCTTCCCTTCACCCCTCCCCTTCCCTTCACCCCTCCCCTTCCCTTCACCCCTCCCCTTCCCTTCACCCCTCCCCTTCCCTTCACCCCTCCCCTTCCCTTCACCCCTCCCCTTCCCTTCACCCCTCCCCTTCCCTTCACCCCTCCCCTTCCCTTCACCCCTCCCCTTCCCTTCACCCCTCCCCTTCCCTTCACCCCTCCCCTTCCCTTCACCCCTCCCCTTCCCTTCACCCCTCCCCTTCCCTTCACCCCTCCCCTTCCCTTCACCCCTCCCCTTCCCTTCACCCCTCCCCTTCCCTTCACCCCTCCCCTTCCCTTCACCCCTCCCCTTCCCTTCACCCCTCCCCTTCCCTTCACCCCTCCCCTTCCCTTCACCCCTCCCCTTCCCTTCACCCCTCCCCTTCCCTTCACCCCTCCCCTTCCCTTCACCCCTCCCCTTCCCTTCACCCCTCCCCTTCCCTTCACCCCTCCCCTTTCACCCTCCCTTCCTTCACCCCTCCCTTCCCTTCACACCCTCCCCTTCCCTTAATCACCCCTCCCTTACCTTCACCCCTCCCCTTCCCTTCACCCCTCCCCTTCCTTCAAACCCTCCCCTTCCCTTCACCCCTCCCCCTTCCCTTCACACACCCTCCCTTCCTTCACCCCTCCCACTTCCCTTCACGCCCTCCCCTTCCCTTCACCCCTCCCCTTCCCTGCACCCCCTCCCTCTGCCCTCAACCCTCCCCTTCCCTTCACCCCTCCCCTTCCCTTCAACCCCTCACCCTTCCCTTCACCCCCAAATCCCCTTCCCTTCACCCCTCCCCTTCCGCTTCACCCCTCCCCTTACCCTTCACCCCTCCCCTTCCCTTCACCCCTCCCCTTCCCTTCACCCCTCACCCTCCCTTCCCTTCACCCCTCCCCTTCCCTTCACCCCTCCCCTTCCCTTCACCCCTCCCCTTCCCTTCACCCCTCCCCTTCCCTTCACCCCTCCCCTTCCCTTCACCCCTCCCCTTCCCTTCACCCCTCCCCTTCCCTTCACCCCTCCCTTCCCTTCACCCCTCCCCTTCCCTTCACCCCTCCCCTTCCCTTCACCCCTCCCCTTCCCTTCACCCCTCCCCTTCCCTTCACCCCTCCCCTTCCCTTCACCCCTCCCCTTCCCTTCACCCCTCCCCTTCCCTTCACCCCTCCCCTTCCCTTCACCCCTCCCCTTCCCTTCACCCCTCCCCTTCCCTTCACCCCTCCCCTTCCCTTCACCCCTCCCCTTCCCTTCACCCCTCCCCTTCCCTTCACCCCTCCCCTTCCCTTCACCCCTCCCCTTCCCTTCACCCCTCCCCTTCCCTTCACCCCTCCCCTTCCCTTCACCCCTCCCCTTCCCTTCACCCCTCCCCTTCCCTTCACCCACCTCCCTTCACCCCTCCCTTCCCTTCACCCCTCCCCTTCCCTTCACCCCTCCCCTTCCCTTCACCCCTCCCCTCTCCCCGTCCAGCCGGCTAGACATTAATAAACTCACGGGATCAATTCCCGCTGGCCTCTCAAGACTCGTGGCACTAACCCAGCTGTACGCTCCACACCTGCCCAGCTGCTTGGCTTTAATGTCTGCCCTTCGCTTTTGCTTCTGTTCCTGGCTCTTAAGTTGGCCGTTGCCCCTTGGTTTATTTTTTGCCACTGGACACTTTTAGATTCTGCTATTACGTGGAGCTGCGCTGAGAACTACAATTTGAATCTTTCATCTATTCGTGCATGTACCATTCTGTTACGTGATATTTTTTTTTTTCCCCAAACGCCCCAGACTCCCCCTCCCTCCACCCCCTCAGCTTCTCTCAACCTCCTTTCTGCCTCACTGCCACTTTTGTACCACCCTCAATAATCTTCCCTCTCCGCATCCTTTAGTCTTGACCTCCATCCTCGATTCCCCCTTAAGCTCACCCTCCGTGCACCACCTTGCGCTGCACCGCTGCAGTAACCTGAAAGACAACCTGCTCACAGGAGCGATTCCCCCGTCTCTCTCTGCGCTCAAGGCCATGCAAACGCTGTAAGATGCAGGCGCTCACACACCGGTTTTCCCTGGGTCACTGTGAGTGAGTGAGAACAGTGTTAACAGAAGAATATATAGCAAGTTCTGCTCACAGGAGCGATTCCCCCGTCTCTCTCTGCGCTCAAGGCCATGCAGACGCTGTAAGCTTCAGGGACTCCGTTTCTCCATGGGTCACTGTGAATGAGTGAGAACAGACTCAAAAGTAAGATTCAGGGTCACCATGATTCCATGGGTCGCTTCGCTGTGCTTGAGAGCAGTCTCAAAATAATATGGCAAGTTCCGTCCGCAGGGCAAGATTTCCCTTCTCTCTCTGCACTCAAGGCCACCCCTCTATCCCTCCACCACCCATCCATCTATCCACGCATCCACCTATCTACCCCTCCATGCATTCACTAATCCATCACCCATCCACCCATCCACCCATCCTCCCATCCACCCATCCACTCATCCTCCCATCCACCCATCCACCCATCCTCCCATCCACCCATCCACTCATCCTCCTATCCACCCATCCACTCATCCTCCCATCCACCCATCCTCCCATCCACCCATCCACCCATCTATCCCTCCACCACCACCCATCCATCTATCCACGCATCCACCCATCTACCCATCCATGCATTCACTAATCCATCACCCATCCACCCGTCCACCCATCCTCCCATCCACCCATCCACCCATCCTCCCATCCACCCATCCTCCCATCCACCCATTGTCACGAAACATATTGGTAACTTGCAGCATATTTCGTTCAGAGCTATGTGGGGTGTAGGTGGTGTACAAGTTGGTATGCAGGGTATTGGAGTGGTAGTTGAAGACTTGGGGAATCACGCGAAGTTGGTGACTCAGAAGATTGCGAAGCGCATGTTGGGAGAATTCGAGGCCTAGGGAGACAGGAAATCGGCGAGGGCCAACCAGAGCCCAGGCGACGCCAGTGCAAGCCCATCCCCGGAATAATTCGCGACAAGGAAAGCGAGTACTAGTAGTCTAGCCTAGCAGAGCCAACCTTGTTCTCTCGTTTGTCTACCTGTTATAGTGGATACAAGTTGCCGTTCTAAGCTACTGCTGCTAGGTGACAAGGCCACACGGGGTAGCCATTGTGGAGGAGGCAGGACTTCTCACAAACGAGAGAAGAAGCCGGCGACATGGATCGCCATGAGCTGCGCATGCAGCGAACGTATTCGCGGCGGGAACGTTCTCCGTCGCGGGGAAGGTGCTCAAGGGAGCGAGGGAGGTCGCCGACGCGCTCGCCAAGGAGGGCGGCGTATCGCGCAGATCTGGTGACGCCAGTGGGCGTGCGCGCTGGAGGACGCGGAGCGGATCTGCACATCAGATCGGAGCCCGGGAGGCGGCCCGCGACCAGCGATCCGTGGGATCTGGCGGGATGCCGGCGCGGAATGGATGGAAGGCGTCGCGACGACGACGTGGAGATGGACTCGGCGAGCGATGATGATAGGGAGGAAGAAATTGAAGAATCCCCCGTCGCGCGGGCCAGCGGCAATCGAAAAGAGACTGAAGGCGAAGAATCCCCCACTGCGCGGGGAGGCGGAACGCGCGACGGTGACGGAAGCGAATCCCCTACTGCGCGGGGAGGCGGAACGTACGACGGTGACGTAGGCGAAGAATCCCCCACTGCGCGGGGAGGCGGAAGGCGCGGCGGCGCCGAAGGCGAGGGACCCCCCACTGCGCGGGGAGGCGGAACTCGCGACGGCGCCGAAGGCGAGGGACCCCCCACTGCGCGGGGAGGCGGAACGCGCGACGACGCCGAAGACGAGGGACCCCCCACTGCGCGGGGAGGCGGAACTCGTGACGACGTCGAAGGCGAGGGACCCCCCACTGCGCGGGGAGGCGGAACGCGCGACGACGTCGAAGGCGAGGGACCCCCCACTGTGCGGGAAGGCGGAACGCGCGATGGCTCCAAAGACGAGGGACCCCCCACTGCGCGGGGCAGCGGGAGGCGCAACGACGCCAAAGACGAAGCGTTCCCAACGACGCGGAGGAAGGACGAGCGTACGCCTGCAAGGCAGTATGAATATGAGTTGAAGCACGACAGGAGTGGGAGAGGTGAACGTCAGATCAGAGAGCCTCTAGGAAGAGATAAGAGTCGTCATGCGCCCACTGGAGCATTCCGCTCGCCCGAGCCGAGGGAGAAGTATGAGCGCAGGCGGCGCATGGCGAGGGGTGACTGGCGAGGCTTGGGGCTGCCGAGGGAGGGAGAGCGTAGCGATGGTGAAGAAGAGGGGTGGGACTCTACGCGGAAGGGAAGAGAGCACAAAGAGGGGTACCGCAAGGAGGATAGGCGAGGATCACTACATGCGGCGGGGGCAGAAGAGAGGGAGCGAGAAGACCAGCAGCGGCAGGACAGGGTAGAGCGAGATAGGCGAGGTCAGGAATTCTCGCCTGAGAGGAAGGAGAGGAGGAGGGGGGAAGAAGGCAAGTGGAAGGAGGCATGGGAGGGGGAGCCGAGAGGGAGTCCGAGTCCAAGGAGCTCAAGGAGGCCATGGCAGACAGGAGAGGGATCCAGTGGGGCTAGAGCCGCAAGGGAGGGAATAGAGAGGGTGTTGTACGGAGCTAGCGCAGGCAGCGGAGGAATGAGGGAGCGCAGAAGAGAAGGTAGCCATATGGAGCGTGGAGTGACAGGGACCTGGGACATAGGGAGATGGGGCACGCAGGCGCCGCCTAGGGTGGAGGTGCCAGTGCGCTTCACGGGAAATGAAGGGACGGGCACTAACCTGAAGAATTATCTGATGCAGATTGGGAATGTCAAGTATCGGTGTGATCGTGGGGGGATGGACCCCATCGACTTCTTCCTCAGTCTGCCCAACACATTGGGAGGGGAAGCAGAGACTTTGTATCGCATGAAAATGCAAGAGTGGCTGAGAAGGGCGGAGGAAGATGGAGATGACCCGACAGCCTTGTTTCTGGCGCGGCTACGCAAACAGTTTCCCGGGCATACAGCGGACCGGATCAGGGAGTTTCAAGACTTCAGACGCAAGAAAGACGAGTCATTGTTAACATACTATGGGCGACTCATGAACCTGGCCGAAGATGTGGTGTGCACGGACACCAGTATGCTGATCAGCAAGTTCCTGGCGGGGCTAGATGATGGGTTAGCAGGAGGGCTGAGGATGAGGGTCTACGAGTTAGGGGCGGAGGCAACGCTGGAAGAAGTATTCGAGCTGGCAGAAAAGGTGGAGCTGGCACAGAGGCGCTATGAGGCATACCTGCCCAAAGCAGTAGAGAAGAAACGACCCACCTGGGCAGCAGCGATGATACCAGGGGCAGGAAGCGGAGAGGAGCAGCGGCAGGAGAGGAGGACAGATACTAGGACGTGCTACAGGTGTGGACAGCCAGGGCACGTGAAGATGAACTGCAAGAACTGTGACACATGTGGCAAGCCAGGCCACCGCCGGCGGGAGTGCCCTGATGCGCCTATCTGTGAAGTGTGTGGAAAAAGGGGGCATCAGCAGAAAGACTGCTATCAGAAGACGGGTGGACCGAGAAGGTCACAAGAGGACATAGCAAACCAGATCGAGAAGCTGCAAGCACGGTTGCAGGCGATGGGAGGCAAGAAGGAGAAGGAAGCGGGCTTGTATGCAAGAGAGGAGGAAGAGGAGGAAAGGGAGGAAGAAGAACGGTTGCCAGAACACACCTTTTTAGCAATGCGCTGCCGAGAAGAGATGGGTCTGAGGAGCGGGGGCAAAGACGGGAGGAAGGAACACATAGTGAAGGAGAGAGGAAGACCAAAACAGAAAACGGAAGAAGAGAGTAAAGAGGATGAGGAGTCAGCCAGGCATCCCAAGGACCGACTAGCCAGCCAGGCAACGGTACTGGTGGCAGAAGCAGGGACAGTGACTGTGGGAGGGGAGATAGCAAAGACTGCGATCCTAGATACAGGGGCACAGAGCGTGATGCTGGGGAAGCGGCTAGCACAGAAGCTGGGACTGACCGGACAAGGGCAGCACATAAAGCGGGGGATGCTGGTTATGACTGCGGAGGGAGGCGAACCTAAGTGGTTGCCGTGCACAAAGACTCCAGTGGAGGTGGTGCTAATGCCGGGAAGGGACGAGCAAACCAGCATACGACTACAGTGTGGGATCTCTGACTCTGAAGACTTCGATGTACTGCTGGGGACGGAACTGATCTGGGGCGTGGGAATGACCATCTGCACATGGAAGGAAAAGGTGAAGTTTCGGAGGCAGTACTGGAAGCGGGGAAGCAGAACGGGAGAGCTGCCTGTTCAATTCATCAGGCAGGAGCCAAGAAGGGCGTATACGGCCGAACAGGCGGGAAATGGAGACAGAGGGAAAGCGGGATTGGTGGGCAAGGCAGCAGAGACCAACGCGTGGCAGGAACCAATCAGACTGGTAGAACTGTTCGGGGGCATAGGAGCGGGGTTGGCGGCGGTGCTCAGGGCAGGGATAGTCGTGAAGGAGTGGATCTACGTTGAAAAAAATGAGAAGGTAAGGAAGATGGCCGAGCACCATGCGAGGAAGATGCAGAGAGAGTATCCTGAGCTGCTGGACGAAGAAGTGGTAATCAAGGCAATGCAGGGGACACTGACAGATGTGAAGAACATCACAAGGGAAGTGGTGAGGGGCTGGGGGCACGTGGACCTGCTGGTAGCAGGGTGGGAGTGCCAAGCAGTATCAAGAGCGGGGAAAGGAAGGGGATTAGGAGATCCAAGGGGAGCACTACTGGTTAACTTGCTCTGCATCATCGACTGGATCAAGGAAAGACAAGAGAAGCTGGTGTACCTGTTGGAGCATGTGGACCTGGAAGGGGACTGCAGAGAACCAGTGAGGAAAGTACGAGAGTTGGTAACAAGGAAGCTGGGGAAGGGAGTAAGGTGTGACGCAGCCAGGCTAGGGGCACGAGCTCACCGAGTCAGACGCTACTGGCAGAACGTCGTGACGGGAGAGCAATTGCAGCAGGAGCTGGACGGGATACGGAGGGATTGGAGCAGGACTGTGCAGGAGATCCTAGAGCCGGGCAGGACAGCGGCGCCAGTCAGAAAGGGCAGACATGAGACGCAGTGCCCATGCAACAAAGTGGGGGCAGAGCGCAGGGCATGGCCGACACTAGTGGGATACAAAGGGGCCGCCGGTTTTAGGGATGAGGACGGGCTGCCAGGAGAAGGCATGGTGTATGATCACAGGACGAAGAGATGGGAGGAACCTACCGCGCTGGAACGGGAACTAGCGATGGGGTATGGAGAAGGGATAACCGATGCAGCAGGGGTGACAGAACAGGAACGACGGAAAGCACTGGGGCAGGCCATGGACGGTCAGGTCATGCAGTGGCTTCTGCGGCGAATGTGGAGAGGGTTGGTCATGGGAGAGGAGCAGGAACGGGAGACTGAGGAAGGAGGGATGAAGAGGGTGGGGGCATGGGTGTGCATGGCAGCCAAGGAAGAGCCAGCATGGGTGGTGGGGAATGCCATGAGTGAGAAGGGAAAGGAGGCAATGCAGGAGGTGCTGGCCAGGTACAGGCATGCCTTCGCGTTTACCGTACAGGAGCTGGGTAAGTGTTCAGTAAAGGAGATGGAGCTGAAGCTGGTCACGGATGAGCCGGTATTTCAGAGGAAGCGGAGAATGACACCAGCAGACGAGGACATTTGCAAGGAAAAATGTAAGGAGCTGTTAGAAGCGGGACTGATACAGCGATCAGAGTCCGAGTACGCAACACCAACAGTTGTAGCAGCACGGAAGGATCTGCTAGGGGAAGTGCTGAGCAGACGGATGTGTGGGGACTACCGAGCACTGAACAAGGTGACAGTGCCCGACAGGTACCCCATGCCAACGGCTGAAGATATTTTTGACCGACTGGGGGCAGGAGAGATTTTCAGCACGCTAGATTTAAGGCAGGGGTTCAACCAGATTCGGATTAAGAAGGAGGACGCGCGGAAGACGGCGTTTCATGGGGCAGACGGGCTGTATGAATGGCTGTTCATGCCATTCGGGCTGCGGAACGCGTCAGCCATCTTTCAGAGAGTGATGGATAGCGTCTTGAGGGGACTAGACTGTGCGGCGTGTTACATAGACGACGTAGTAATCTTCAGCAAGAGCGAAGAAGAGCATGTGAGGGATGTGGAGCGGACACTGAAGGCGTTGGCGGATGCAGGGCTGACCTGCCACCCGAAGAAATGCAGATGGGGAGAGGCAACCGTACAGTACCTGGGGTACGAGGTCAGGGGAGGGCAGATAGGGATTCAGCAGGCAAAGATTGAGGTGCTGAACAGGCTGCAGCAGCCGAAGGACAGGAGCGGACTAAGGGCAGTGCTGGGATTTCTGAGTTACTACCGCAGGTTTGTCCCGAACTTCAGCAAACGAGCGACAGCGCTGAACGGACTGCTGAAGGAGGACAGAAAGTGGGAGTGGGGGACAGACCAGGTGGCAGCGTTAAAGGACCTGATGGAGGCGGTGCAGACGGCGACAATACTGCAGCTGCCAAAGGCGGACAAGCCCTTCTGCCTCTATACCGACTGGAGCAGCCAGGGCATGGGCGCTATACTCTGCCAGGAGATAGATGGGGAGGAAAGGGTGGTGGCATATGCGAGCAGGAGCTGCAACCCCGCGGAAGCAAAGTACAGCTCATACCATGGGGAAGGGCTAGCAGCCGTGTGGGCCGTAAAACACTTCAGAGTATACTTGCAGGGGAGGGAATTTACGCTCATAACAGACCACCAGCCTCTGCAGTGGTTGATGACCCACCAAGGACTGACAGGGAGGAATGCGCGGTGGGCAGTCACACTGCAGGAATACGATTTCAAGATACGGCACAGGCCGGGGAAGACACTACAGCATGTTGACGGGCTCTCAAGGAACCCACCACCACCAGAGCCGGTACAGGTGCTGATGATGCTGGCTAGGCAAGGGGAAAAAAAGGCGGCAGGGAAGCAGCAGGGACCACGGGAAATATGGGAAGACGCTGAGGCGCTGAGGTGGATTAAGGGAGAAACAGAGGGGGATGAGCAGGTGCCCGAACGGGCGAGGGCACGGGGAAACCACTATCGGTGGTACCAGGGGCAGCTGCAACTACAGTCAGAAGACGGCTGGAAATTGGTGCCAGCACCTGGGGAGAGGGAGGGGCTAATTGAGGAGGTGCACAAAAGGTTAGGACACTTCGGTCACGAGCGTACGATGCAACTGCTGAAGACAGGATGGTGGTGGGATGGGATGCGAAAGCAGGTGAAGGAGTGGGTAAGCGGATGCGCGGGATGCCAGCGAAGCAAGGCGAGTCTAATGCAAGCAAAACAGGAGCTACAGTCGCTGCCGATTAGAGGGCTGGGGTTTAGGTGGTCGTTAGACCTGGCAGGAGAATTGCCGCTGAGCAGGAGAGGGCAACGGTACATCCTGCTCATGGTAGAGCACGCTAGCAAGTGGCTTGAGGTGTGGGCCATACCAAGCAAAGACTCCAGGCATGTGGCCAAGGCTTTTAAGGAGCAGGTGTTGTGCAGGTTTGGGGCGCCGGGAGAGGTGTTAACCGATCAGGGAACCGAGTTTAGGGGAGAGTTTCAGGCGCTGCTAGACGAGACAGGGATCACTCACCGAGTAACGTCAAGGTACCACCCTCAGAGCGATGGTTTGACAGAACGATTGGTGCAGACCCTAAAGCGCAACCTAAGGGCGTACGGGGAACAGCGGAAGAGGAACTGGGACGAGGAGCTGCACTGGATTGCAGCCGGATACCGATTCGGGAAGCAGGCGTCATTGAAGGATCATTCGCCATACAGCCTGTTGTTTGGAAGAGAACCAATTCTTCCAGTGGGAGCTCCACGGGTGCTGACTGATACTGTATCAGTGGAGGGAGCAGAAAAGTGGGTGGCATTGGCAGAAGCCAGGGCGAGGTACATGAGGGAGATGCTGCCGGCGGCCTTGGAAAACCTGCACACAGCGCAGCTCAGGGACGCACGCAGATATGAACAGAGGCAACAGCAGGGAGGCCGAAAGAGTAAAGCAGCAGCAGCAGAGGGCCAGGAGGTGTACCTGCGAAGGGCCAGGAAGGATACACTGGATGTGGGATTAGGAACTGAGCGGTGGAAGGTGAAGGAGATCAGGGGTTCGGGGGTGTTGGTCCTGGAGAACGAAAGGGGGGAAAGGACAGTTGATCACCAGACGAACGCAGCTGTGGTGAAAGGGCAGAGACCTCAGCAAGAGGGTCCTGTGACACGTGCACGGGCAGCCCGCGCACGGGCACAGGAGGGGGCAGGGAGTGGCTGAGGCAGGAGAGGACTGAGCAAGGGTAATCACGGACGGAAGGAAAAGGGATAAGAGGAGGATGGGGTGAGAGCAGAGTAGGTAATCACACAGTGATGGTAAGGATAGGGGAGTACTCCGACAGCTGTCACGAAACATATTGGTAACTTGCAGCATATTTCGTTCAGAGCTATGTGGGGTGTAGGTGGTGTACAAGTTGGTATGCAGGGTATTGGAGTGGTAGTTGAAGACTTGGGGAATCACGCGAAGTTGGTGACTCAGAAGATTGCGAAGCGCATGTTGGGAGAATTCGAGGCCTAGGGAGACAGGAAATCGGCGAGGGCCAACCAGAGCCCAGGCGACGCCAGTGCAAGCCCATCCCCGGAATAATTCGCGACAAGGAAAGCGAGTACTAGTAGTCTAGCCTAGCAGAGCCAACCTTGTTCTCTCGTTTGTCTACCTGTTATAGTGGATACAAGTTGCCGTTCTAAGCTACTGCTGCTAGGTGACAAGGCCACACGGGGTAGCCATTGTGGAGGAGGCAGGACTTCTGGCAGGGAGTGGCTGAGGCAGGAGAGGACTGAGCAAGGGTAATCACGGACGGAAGGAAAAGGGATAAGAGGAGGATGGGGTGAGAGCAGAGTAGGTAATCACACAGTGATGGTAAGGATAGGGGAGTACTCCGACACCATCCACCCATCCTCCTATCCACCCATCCACCCATCCTCCCATCCACCCATCCACCCATTCACTCATCCATCCTCCCATCCACCCATCCACCCATCCTCCCATCCACCCATCCACCCATTCACCCATCCACTCATCCTCCCATCCACCACTCATCCATCCTCCCATCCACCCATTCACTCATCAACCACTCATCCATCCACCCATCCACCCATTCACTCATCCACCACTCATCCATCCTCCCCATCGCCTCACCGCCTCAAACCAGGTACCTCCGGAACAACAAGCTCACCGGCACAATCCCCTCTCAGCTCAGCACTCTTTTTGAGGCTCCTCAGAAATGCATCCGCCCATCCACCCACCCCCTCACCTCATCTACTCAAATCAACCCAGGGATATCCGGAACAACAAGCTCTCCGGCACGATCCCCTCTCAGCTCAGCGCCCTCACCAACCTGGACGGGCTGTGAGTCACTCCTGTTGAGTCACTCCTGTGTTTTGATTGCGTCTAGATTTGTTTGAGTCTTTCTTAAACTCATTCACCCCTCTCTCAGCTCAGCACGCTCACCAACCTGGACGGGCTGTGAGTCGCTTCGACTTCTCAAGTCACTATCTGAGATTCTGAGTCACTCACTCCCATATAGCAAGCAAGTACCGATAGTGACCTAAATGGGCACGATCCCCTCTCAGCTCAGCACGCTCACCAACCGGGACGGGCTGTGAGTCGCTCGGTTATTTGTACGTCTGGGTCACTCTGTTGTATGAAAAGTCTCAGAAGTGACTTCATTCGGCACAATTCCCACACTTACCAACCACACCCAACCCAACCCTATCCCAACCCACCCCACCCCACTGCATCCCACCTCATCCCACCCTCCCGTCAGCTATTTGAGCAACAGCACACTCGCAGGAGCCATCCAACCCAACTCCACCCGCGTCCCATGATACCCCATCCCGCCCATACCCATTCCACCCCATCCCACCGTGCTCCACCCCATCCCACCCTACTCCACCCCATCCCGCCCATACCCATTCCACCCCATCCCACCGTGCTCCACCCCATCCCACCCTACTCCACCCCATCCCACCCAACCCCACCCTACCTTCCCCGCCATTTATTGAAGCAACAACTCACTCACAGCAACAGCTCCCATTTGCATTTCCTGATACCACACTCCACCCCATCCCACCCCACCCACTCCACCCCGTCCCAAACTCCCGCCAGCTATTTGAGCAACAGCACGCTCACAGGAGCCATTCCAGCACAGCTCAATCTGTGACTCATGATAACCCATCCCAACCCATCCCACCCCACTCCACTGCATCCCACCCCATCCCACAGCTATTTGAGCAACAACACGCTCACAGGAGCCATTCCAGCACAGCTCTATTCGTGACTCATGATAACCCATCCCAACCCATCCCACCCCACTCCACTGCATCCCACCCCATCCCACAGCTATTTGAGCAACAACACGCTCACAGGAGCCATTCCATCGCAGCTCAAGACCCTCACAAACCTCCGCTTCCTGTGAGTGCGCGAAACAACCCACCTTAGCTATCTTACTGTAACACTGGATTCGCTCCAGAGATTGGGTGTTCTCCCTCTGTTCTCTGGGTGTCAACCTAGGCACCAGAGTAGGTACTTCTTTCTTTTCTTTGTTCCTGCTCTTTTACGTGTCGTTCTGTTTCGTACCTTCTCTTCTCGTCTCTTCTCGTCTCTTCTCGTCTCTTCTCGTCTCTTCTCTTCTCTTCTCTTCTCTTCTCTTCTCTTCTCGTCTCTTCTCTTCTCTTCTCTTCTCTTCTCTTCTCTTCTCTTCTCTTCTCGTCTCTTCTCGTCTCTTCTCGTCTCTTCTCTTCTCTTCTCTTCTCTTCTCTTCTCGTCTCTTCTCTTCTCTTCTGCACTTTCCCTTGCTTCCCTGCAGCTTCATCGACAGAAATGCCCTCACAGGATCTGTACCTAGTCAGCATAGTGGATACTTGCTACTTGGTTCCTGGTCTCTCAAGTCTTGCTCCGCTCGGTACCTTCTCTTCTGCACCTTCCCTTGCGTCCGTGCAGCTTCATCGACAAGAATGCCCTCACAGGATCTGTACCAGCTACAATCTCCTCCTTTGCCTCTCTCATCTACCTGTGAGTCTCGTGCGTTTCGTCAAGACCCTAAGCCCTAAAAACCTTCAAACCTGACAGCGTCTGTATGGGCTCCAGTCTCCCCCTTTGCTCCTCTCGTCTACTGTGCGTTCTTGTTTAAAGAACCCTGGAATGTAAACGAGAACAAAAGCTGGCTTCTTGACAAAAGCTGGCTTCTTGACAAAAGCTGGCTTCTTGACAAAAGCTGGCTTCTTGACAAAAGCTGGCTTCTTGACAAAAGCTGGCTTCTTGACAAAAGCTGGCTTCCCCTCTCCCCCTCTCCCCCTCTTCCCCTTCCCAGGAGTGCCTCCAACAAAAAGCCCTCAGGCTCCTTGCTTGCAGTCCCGGCCTTGCCTGTCACCCACCCTTTCCACATCACTTTCCGCCTCCTTTTGAGAATTCTCAAAAGTCACTCCAATATGCGTTGCCTGTCACCCACCCTTTCCACATCCCTTTCCGCCTCCTTCCTTCTCGCTTACCCCCCACCCACCCACCTCCTCCATCCCAGGCGTGCGTCTCACAACAAGCTCTCAGGCTCCTAGACTGCAGGCCTCGCCTCGCCTCCCACCCACCCACCCTTTCCATATCCCTTTCCGCCTCCCTCCCCCATACCTCCCCCCTCTCCCCCCTTCCCAGGAGTGCATCAAACAACAAGCTCTCAGGCTCTTTGCCTGCGGGCCTCTCCTCTCTCGCTGCATTACAGTACCTGTCAGTTACCACCTCCCCCAGTCAGTTGCCACCTCCCCCAGTCAGTTACTCCCCCCCCCCCCCCCTGTCAGTTACCACCACCTCCCCATGTCAGTTACCGCCTCCTCCTGTCAGTTACCACCTCCCTCTGTCAGTTACCACCACCTCCCCCTGTAAGTTACCACCTCCCCCTGTCAGTTACCCCACCGGGCCACTGACAGCCTAACAACCAAGCAGCATAACAGCCTGACAGAGATTACGGGGAATCACTTGTTTACCCACGGATCGTCCTTCTCTCTCTCCCTTACTCTCCTCGGTTTTGAGGCGCCTCAAAAACAGATCGTCTCTCTCTCTCCCTTGCTCTCCTCGGTTTTGAGGCGCCTCAAAAACAGATCGCCCTTTTCTCTCTCCCTTGCTCTCCTCTGCTCTCCTGCAGAGGCCTGGCCAACAACACACTCACTGGATTGATACCCTCTGCCCTCTCCTCCCTCGGCTCTCTAGCCATTATGTAAGCATTCGTGTTGGTAAGGAGAGATGGAGGGTGAGCAGGATATATTAGTTAGGTGAAGTGAAGAGTACAAGGCGACTTTTTGAGGCGCGCCTCAAAAGTTAGGAGCAATGGAGGGCGAAGAAGATATTTTAGTTAGGTGAAGATTACAAGGCGATAGAGTTGGTTGGGCTGAAAGCCCAGCTGAGTATGTTTTTTTTAATTTTTGAAAAACATACCTTGAGATGGAGGGCAAAGAGGATATATTGGTTAGGTGAAGAGTACAAGGCGACAGAGCTGGTTGGGTTGAGAGCCCAGCTGAACCTAGAGGGCATGTTCAGTTTAGGAAACAAACCCAGATTGAACCTAACCTGAAGTGAAATCAGGACTAAAGCTGGCCAAAACATGATGTATAGCCAGTATTGATTACAGATCAGAAACTTGCATGCAGGTTCCTCCATCGCAACTCTCTCTGTATGAAATATGTGTGGATAAAGGTGAATTTTGAGGCACCTGAAGAACCGAAACTAGCATGCAGGCTCCTCTATCACAACAACTCGCTCTGAGACGAAACGAGTTGTGAGGCGCCTTAAACCAAGCTGCACCCCTCTGTACCCCTCTCTGTCCCTTCATCTATCTCTGCAGGTTCCTGCATCACAACTCGCTCACAGGCTCGCTCCCTCTCCCGCTCTCAGAGCTCACCTCCCTCTTCTCCGTGTAACCGCCCTTTTCCCTGTGACTGCCCGTCTCCTTGTAACTGCCCTTCCCTTCTCTTCCTGCGACCGCCCTTCTCCTCTCCCGTACATTTTGTTCTTTTAGTTTTCTTAACACAAATTGCGTCGCCAGCTCTCTGAGCTCACATCCCTCTTCTCCCTGTAACCTCCCGCCCACTCTCTGTTAACAATCTTCTCTTATATTTCTCTTTAAGCGAATTGGCTCGCTGCGTCGCCTGCTCTCTGACCTCACCTCATGTTTTTTGAGAATTCTAAAAAAACATACGAATCGGCTTGCTGCATTGCCTGCTCTCTGACCTCAGAGAAGCTTGTTAACAGAGAGTGGGCGGGAGGTTAACAATCTCCTGACCGCCCACTCCCTTTAAGCGAATCGGCTCGCTGCGTCGCCTGCTCTCTGATCTGACCTCACCTCCCTCTTCTCCCTGACTGCCCTTCTCCTTTCCCTCGTTTATTTTATTCTATTCTTCTTTCTATCTGCTACACGGCTTCTCTCTCTCTCTCCCTCTCTCTCGAATGGTCCTTGCATTTCTTTGGGGGGTGGTACAACGGAAGGTGCAAAACACACAAGCACATGCACAACAGAAAACCGGCATCCAAACTATCTCAAGTCCCCTACCTACTCCGCCCCCCCTCTGTCCGACCCTACTGGTCGAACGGGGCCTCAATCAACTGGTGCAGCTGTCCCTCACTGAGAGGGATGATGGGTCCTCTAAAGCCGAGCTCGTCCGCCACCAAGGCCTCATTGGTCTTGGTGCGGAGGGCGTTGGCCTGCGCCCGCTGGAGGCACACGCTCCAACGCTGGCGGTACTCCGTCAGAAGCTTCACTGCTTCGTAGGAGGTAGGGGCTGCGTTAAACCGCAGCTTTGCCGCCAGCTCCGCGCATTGCCGCAGGTAAGCTAGCACCCCCGGCGAGGGGTAGCCGTATGTTTCCACTGCGAGCGCGTGGAACCCCACCCACGTGTTCCGCCGTGCGTACTTCTCCTCCTTTTTTGCCGCTGCCGCCCTAGCTGCCCAACCAGGAGCTCGGTTGCAGTTCTCGTCCTGGTATGACATCGGGTCCGTCACGGTCACGTCGCACATCCAAACCTCCCCGGTCAGTGGATGACGGATGGTGACATCCGCCTTTAGGTTTTCAACCAGTGAGTAGACATACGTCTCCTTATGAACCGTAAAACCCGCCTCAGCCCCGATATTGGCTATCTCATCCCGCAGAGCGTGATGGGTTGCGGTCCTCCCTTTCCCCTTCTCGCAGCGCATGAGGTGGTTGGGGAGGCGGTCGTCGGGGAAGGTGGTGCGGTAGCGGCAGTCACAGCGTCTAGGCACTGGGAGGGGGAGGCCTAGGCGGAAGGCAGCTGCAGTTGAGAGTTGGGAGGGGCCCATTCGGAGCGAGGGGATGAGCGGGATCGCCAGCAGCCAATCCCCCGCTCCTGGGCCTAGCACCGACTGCATCCGTTGCGCATGGCCTGAAAGGGGGTTGGGGCGCATCCGCCTTGCCTCGCGCATGGCCCTCAAGAAGCGGCGGGAGTGAACCGCCAGCGCTAGGCTCTGCTGCAGCTTCAGTCCCTTGGGGTCTGTCTTCCCGGCCTGGAGCACCTCGAGAGCCTCAGGTGGGAGAGCTGCCTCAGCCGCGGCGAGGCGTGCAGGCAGCGTGTGCGGGGAGCCGTGGGTAGGGTCCAGTAGGGGGAGGAGCGCGGCGACAGCAGGGTGTAACGACTCCTCCAGGGAGTATAGAAGGTGGGCGGCGCTGATCACTGAAGCGAGGTAAGCGTAGCTGCCTTCAACGGCGGGGTCAGTGATGCCCAGGCCTCCCAGAGTCACGGGCAGGGCCGCCTGCCGCCAAATCCTCCGCCTCTCCCGGGCACTCCTCGGTCTCATGATGTGGGCAGAGTCCAGGAAGGTGTGTAGGAGCTGCTCCCCCCAAGCTGACCATTCCGCTTCAGGGAGAGCTTCCAGGGGGGTGGTTCTGGCCAGAAAAGAGGCTCGGCGGCTGACACAGCGGGTGAGGAGGAGGAGGCTAAGCTGCAGGGGGGTGGTTCTGGCCATCCCTCTCTCTCTCTCTCTCTCTCTCTCTCTCTCTCTCTCTCTCTCTCTCTCTCTCTCTCTCTCTCTCTCTCTCTCTCTCTCTCTCTCTCTCGAATGGTCCGTTGTATTAATTCAGCAGGGGTACAGGCATGCAGTTCTATCCATGATAACCTCTATCCCATAAGCCCATCAACTCACCCCTCTTCCCCTCCCCTCCCCCCTGAGTGACCCTCTAGCCCTCCAGCGTGTGTAGGATATCCCCCAGGTGCAGCGGCCAGGGGTCCGCTGCCATCTGGGGGTGTGCTGCCTCAATCCCAGCCCTCTCTCTCAAACGGTCCTTTGTATTGATTCAGCAGGGATACAAAAACATGCAGTGCAATCCATTATAACCTCCTTCCCTTAAGCCCCTTAGCTCACCCCTCTTCCCCCCCCCCCCCCCTGCGTGACCCTCTAGCCCTCCAGCGTGTGGAGGATGTCCCCCAGGTGCAGTGGCCAGGGGTCCGCTGCCATCTGGGGGTGCGCTGCCTCGATCCCAGCCCTGGCCTTGGTGTGCAGGGCATTCGCTTGGGAGCGCTGGAGGGCCACTGACCAGCGTTGGCTGAAGTGGCAGGCCATCTTCTTGGCCGATTTGGCCAAGGGGTTGGCCCTGAACCTGTTCTTAGCCGCTGCTGTGGCCAGCAGCTTAAGGAACGCTGTCGTGGGGGGCGCGTTTGCCCCGTATGTCTCGACGGCCAGGGCGCAGAACACCACGTGTTCGGTGTGCCTGTAGTAGTCCCTCTCCTTTTGCCTTTGTGCCTCCCTCGCAGCCCAGCCTGGGGGTTTGCAGGCTGTGGGGTCCCGGTTCGGTAGCACAGGGTCGGTGATAGTCGTGTCTGTGATCCAGGTCTCTCCACTGTCTGGGTCACGCACGATCACATCGGCCTTCTTCGGGTCATCCGGTGGTGAGTACATTGCATTCTCCAGGTATACCACCAGCTGCGCCTCCCTCGCCATTCTTGCCACGGCAAAGGCCAGCTGATTGTGTGTGCGCGTTCTGTCCGGGCCTGTGCTGCAGCGGAGTAGGTGGTTGGGTAGGCTGCAGTCGGCCACGAGCTCTCCACACTCGCACACGGTAGGTACGTTCTGTCGGATGCCCATGCGGAAGGCCAGGGCTGTTCGGAATTGCCCTGGTGAGAAGCAGAGGTCTGGGGTCAGGGGTAGGGCTTGCAGCCATGCTCCTGCTCCCTCGCCTCTCAGGCTGACGAGGCGGAGCGTGTGGCCCATCTCGGGAGCTGACCTGATTGAGCGTGATTCCTCTGTCAGGGTGTCGGCCTTTGCCGCGTGCACTTCCTGAGAGAGGGCCCGCTGCAGCTGGTCTTGGGACGGGGTCTCTTGCTCCTCACGGAGGTATTGCAGCGCCAACGGCGGCAGTCGTCCCTCCATATCTTGGATGGTGACCGAGTGTGACGCAGACGACTGCAGGGCATTGCTGTTGCTCCCTAGCGCCGCGGTTGCTAGCAGGTCGAGTGAGCGGAGCAGGCGTAGTGCCTCTGTCGTTGAGGCCAGGTAGGCTGGTGCTGCTTCTGTTGTGGGATCCGTGAGGCCCAGTCCACCTAGGGCCACTGGGAGGGTTGCTTGGCGGATGAGAAAATTGAACTCGGCTTCGCGGCGGGGTGGTTGGATGCTGGCGGCAGTCAGGGCGGTGTTGAGCAGTTCGGCGCACCACGCATGCCATTCCGAGAGGGGAAGGACATCCGCTGGGGTGGTGCGCAGCAAGTAGCCGATTCTGCGGGTGATGCAGCGGGACAGGAGCAGGAGGGCATGCTGTGGATGGATGGATGCTAGGGAGCCCAAGGGTGCCGCCGCGTCTGTCAGAGTACTGCGGACCACGCCAGCGCAGAAGCGCTGTGACCCCACGGGACTTCCCAACACCCGTACCCCCTCGTTGGTGAGTGGGAGGCCCTCGGGGAGCTCGTCACCCTCAAGCGGCGTCGTGGACCACGCCGACGATTTTCTGAGGTTGCAGGTGAGGCCATCCTGGGCGAGCAGCGGCGTCAGTAACTTAAGCGCGCCGAGCGTTGCTGTCGCCGGTCCGATCATGGTGATGTCATCTGCGTATGCTAGGATCGTGACTTCTGGGTGCTCTGCTGCTGTGCGTCTGAGGTGCTGCTGGATTGATGCCGCGAACAGCAGGGGTCCGAGGGGGTCCCCCTGCCTCACCCCTCTTCCGCTGGTAAGTGCCGTCGTGCTCAAGCGGGGATCGGTCAGCAGCTGAGAAGGCGTTGCGAAGAAGGAGCGGGTGAAAGGTATGAGCGGTGCTAGCGGGGTGTTGGTGAGTGCGTTGAAGAACGCTTTCCTCTCTACGGAGTTGAAAGCGTTTTCAATGTCGAGTTGGAGGACTAGGCTGGAAGGTTGTGAAGTGGTGAGGTCTCTGACTGCATGTATAACGAACTCAGCTCCGCCTGGGACTGCCACACCGAATTGTTGGGGTAAGAAAAATCGCCTTGTTTCTCCCTGCAGTTCCGAGAGTGCCACCTTTGCTGCCAACCGGAGTAGGGATTCCCCTATTGCGATAGGGCGTACCCCCCCCCCCCCTGGTTTCGCGAAGGCGATGAGGCGGGATGGCGAGAGTAGTGCTGCAACCTCGGTGGAAAGATTCGTGGAGAGAAGATGTGTTACGGCGGAGTGTAGGTGCCCCAGCACTTCGATGTTGCTTAGGGCTGGGTCGCGGTAGTGTTCAAATGTTGACCCGGATGGACCAGCCCCAACTCCGCTGGGGCAATCCCCAAGGACGTCTGAGAAACTTTCCGCGGTGCACGAAAATTGCATGGGTGTTGTGTAGGTGTGGACCCAGTCGGGCAGCTCAACTTGGGGTTGGGGATGTTTCAATTCCAACTGCTGCAATGTTGCGATCGTCGCAGGGGCCGCTGGCGAGGGTGAAAGGGCTGCCAACGCTTTTCGCAGGTTACCTCGTTTCACCAGCCCC